TTGAAGACACTAATCATAAAGGGGTTTGATATCAATTGGGACGCAAGTTCTGTTTCAGACTCCTGTCACAAGTACTAATTATTTTGTTATTTTTTATTGTTCTACTGTCAGTTGTAATTCAGTAATATCTTACTCGCGGAAATGATACTTGTTTGTAACTTTAGTTCTCTTTTTTTCTACGCCTTGTGACCAGTGTGACCAGTACTAGTGTGACCAATGTAACCAGTGTGACCAGTGTGACCCAGTGTGACCAATGTAATCAGTGTGACCCAGTGTGACCATTGTGACCCGTGTGACCATTGTGACCAGTGTGACCATTGTGACCATTGTGACCAGTGTGACCAGTGTGACCATTGTGACCAGTGTGACCATTGTAACCATTGTGACCAGTGTGACCAGTGTGACCATTGTGACCAGTGTGACCATTGTGACCAGTGTGACCATTGTGACCAGTGTGACCATTGTGACCATTGTGACCAGTGTGACCAGTGTGACCATTGTGACCAGTGTGACCATTGTGACCAATGTGACCAGTGTGACCATTGTGACCAGTGTGACTAGTGTGACTAGTGTGACCAGTGTGACTAGTGTGACCAGTGTGACCAGTGTCACCAGTGTCACCAGTGTGACCCAGAGTAATTTTGCGCATGCTTAAAGAAGTGTGACTTGTGACGAGTCACACTATTACAGTGTCATTTCCACAAAAATATATCGTGCATGGTATAGATCTATCAGTAATCTGAACTGTTCTCTCTCAACCCATAAAATACTGCATACTGTAGGAATGAAAGCCTGGGTGCAGACATTACATCTTTTATACATACATATTTTGTCTAAAGTATTTTATCTAATTCAGGGCTGGAAATCAGTATTTGTGAGTTGGGCACCCTGATGAAATATTGTCTTTATAATAATAATTAGTGACACTGTGCCAACACCAGGCTTTTAATATATTTTGCATTATTTCAGGCGTTTGCAGTGCCATGATTGTGTTGAGTTGAAGAAAGAAGTCAAGAATATGAATGAAAAGATGACTGAGGATAATGCCAAGCTGCAGAAGCAAGTCAATGACCATAATACCAAGCTGCAGAAGCAGGTAGATGACCTCAGTGAAAAGATGACTGAAGACAATGCCAAGCTGCAGAAGCAGGTTGATGAGCTCAGTGAAAAGATGACTGAGGATAATGCCAAGCTGCACAAGCAAGTCAATGACCATAATGCCAAGCTTCAGAAGCGAATCAGTGACCAAAATGCCAAACTTCAGAAACAGGTTGATGAGCTCAGTGAAAAGATGAGCAGAATGTGTGAGATGCAAATAGAAGTCATGATGAAAGTCACACAGATGATGACAGAAGTAAAACAACTTAAACAGATGATTCCAGGTCAACAGTTGGTTAGAAAAAGTATAATCATTGCTGGTGGAGAAAATAAAAATTCCATCAATTCTGTGGAAATTTTCTCCTGGGAAAATAAAACATGGACATTACTAAATCCAATGTCAACATGTCGTTCCAGAGCATCTGCAGTCACATATCAAGGTGAAGTCATTATTTCTGCAGGAACTGATGGTAAGAAATCTACAGATACAATGGAAACAAGTTCTTGTGATGCATCTGTGGAATGGAAGATCTCTCCTGTCAAGCTTTCTGAATTGTGTCGAGGGCATGCAGCAATCATGTATAAAGATAGCTTGATTTTGAGTGGAGGAATTGCAAGTAAAACTAGTGACAAAATCTACAAGATTTCCATGGTCCCTCCATACTCTACAAAGATCTTAGCAACAATGCCTGAACCAAGATATGACCACACTATGGAACTGTTTGAAGACAAGCTTTTTATCTTTGGAGGGTGTTATGAAGGTGCAAAGGACACTGTCATGATGTATAATCTTGTCACCAAAGAATGGAAGATGATGACACCTTTGCCTTTTGCAGTTGATGAGATGGCGACTGTTCTTTGGCAAAATAATGTCATTGTTCTTGGTGGAAGAAATAATTTTACAGGCTGTAAAGATACGGTTGTCATGTACAATCTAACAACAGGGGAATCCAAATATTTGCCATCCATGAAACATAAACGACGTGGATGTGCTGCTGTTGTTACAGGCGGTGTACTTGTTGTGATGGGTGGGGAACATGTTAAATCAGCTGAGGCTTTCCATTTCCAGGAGCAGGTCTGGGAAGAACTACCAGACATGAATGAAGCAAGAAAGTATGCAAGTGCTGTTGTCAAACCAAATTAAACAGCACAAAGTCAATATGTTACAATATGTCTAATACTGGACAACCTTGTAGAACAAAAGCTACATTGTATATTGCATAAACATATATATTAACCATATTACAAACTGTGCTGGGACATTTGCAAATTAACCCACATATTTGATGGAAAGATGACATAACCTGAGCTAAAGAATTGCTAACATCAAAATGCAATTAATATTTACTTACAAGCTGGGCAAACGTAAGCTTTGTTAAATTCTCTTGTACCATCTTCATCACAAAATATATCCGAGTTATAAAAGCTAAGAAAATAATACTGATATCTCAATGGTCAATCTAACATTTTAACCAGCATTTTTTCCTTATTATTTGCCAATTTTTTATAAATGCAATTGTACAGTACTGAGAAATTGAAATATGATAAGACTTGAACAAAATCGTGTTTCTCTTAGACAAAATGTACAAAAGGATACGGGAGCAAGAAGTCACCTATAGTTTTAATAAAAGACAAAAAATATTGATTTTTAAATATATAGTTTCATACAGTATTGCAAAAACCGAGAATTTATATATTTTCATCGATTACAAAGGATTACATCGATGTATTTACCCAAGACAAAGAGCTCAGACGTTTTCTACATTTTCTAAAATTACAGAGGTCGTTATCCATGTTTGCAATCTGACATTATCACACTTTCGGGCTAGAAAACGCAAGAAAAAACATATTTTCTTAGCAAAAAAAGCACAAAATTAAACACAAACACTGAAAATAGACAATGCTTACCTTAGTTATCGTTTCAAGGACGTCCTTTATTCAAAATATAGCTATTTCTTCGTATTTTTTATCTTCAAATTTAAAGACAAGATTTTTAAACTTCCCGCCATAGCGCTATCTTGCCAGAAGTGCTCCAAATCAAAACGTCAAAAATGGCGATGTTTTCATGATGGTGCTCAAATAATGACTTGGATTAGTAGGCAAATAAATGGAATTGAGAGTTGTAGTTTAATTTTTTTGTTCCTGTGTCAACATTTCTGCAGTTGAACACCAAATAAAGAAATTCGACAATAAACTTTTGAAGGGTTATAACAAAAGAATAATATATGATTACAATTTCATTCAGAATTCTGACTGGTATAGGAGTCCAATTATCTCACTAATACACTCTTCCGGAAAGTACGTCACTTTGGCCATAGAGCCTCGCTTTCGTGCATGTGACATCTGTGACATTAGTGCAATGTCACAGAACAAAACGAGGCTCTATAGCCAAAGTGACATACTTTCCCGAAGGGTGTATTGCAATACATTGCATAAAGTATAATTTAATAAGAAATTTAAAGATGGGTAGACCAGTGGTAACTTTACCTAAAATATTCAAAGTGATACTCAAATGACTAGCTTGTCATACAACAACTCACCCATACCTCAAAACATTATAAATTTACTGTTAATTTGGTAAGTATTGCTCTGGACGAACTTGGACAAAGAAAAGAATGTCCGTCTAAATAATTTTCTTGAGTGTGTATAAACGCGGCAAACGGATCATCGATGAAATTTCTGTGCGTTGTTCATCTTGACAAATGATCTGTGTATGTGCACAAATACGCATTAGAGAAGCACTGGATATAGTTCACACTATTTTAGCTAGTTCATCTGGACACACTGAGAGGGATGATCCGTCGAATAATGCGTCGTCATAGATGGACAGTGTATAAATCGTGCCAATGTAAGATGATGAATAAGTACCATCTTTGAGAGGAAGCCAATCTTTCTTGGTCGTTCAGTTAAGCGATCGACTTTCTCTCCCCAAAATGAGGAAATTTAGCAAATTATTTCAGTGGAATTGACGAATTGGGATTTAATTCACTTGCCTCGATTCAGCGTAGTGCATTAGTAGGTTTCACTGAGCACCATCGTGCAGCATATGATGGTCAACCTGCAGTTATCAGAATGAGAAAATAATGTTCATTCTTTCATTATATATAGTTTTATTTTCTGGCTGTCGACATCTTGTTCACCATCATCTCCTGTTCTGTAGCGATTACTGCAACAACCTCGTACCCAGTGCTTCTGAGAGCCACAAGGACAGAAGGCCTGGGTACGAGGTTGTTACTCCGCATGAAATCGATCATAAAACCTGCTAATAATTTCCTAAAATGATTCATAGTCCGCCCCAGTTCCCTCCGCTTTCTCGCGAGTTTTACCATTCTTTTGTCGACTTTTCTTTTTCGATTTATGTTTTTTCTCGCTAGACTCCGTAACACCGTCCTCCGACTCCTTCGTTTTCGATTTTTTCTTGTGTTTATTCTTTGAACGATGTCTGTGCTTTCCCTTGATGAACAAGAAAACAAGTTATGGGATGAAAAGTATTTCAGATTTGTATACTGGATACTGGATAGCTCTATCAGTTCTAAACTGTAAGGATCATCTCTTATTGATCCAGTGTCACTACAGGAGGAAACCTAAACTAAACTAACTTTATTTATACTGGATAGCTCTATCAGTTCTAAACTGTTCTTCCTAGAGGTCCAGTAAGGATCATCTTTTATTGATCCAGTGTTACTACAGGAGGAAACCTAAACTAAACTAACTCTATTTATACTGGATAGCTCTATCAGTTCTAAACTGTTCTTCCTAGAGGTCCAGTATGGATCATCTCTTATTGATCCAGTATTACTACAGGAGGAAACCTAAACTAAACTTTTTTATTATGGATAGCTCTATCAGTACTAAACTGTTTTAGAAATTCAGTGCTACCA